GTGAAGAATTTCAACGGCACAAGTCCCACAAGCTCTGCCATCTACATCTTAGTCTTCAATACCGAACTGACAAGGAAGCCAATCTCCTCGCCAAGCTGATCAAGGCATCGTCACCAGTATCTGGGTCTGGAAACTGAGCAGTAAAAGCTTCGTAGATGGCCTGGAAGCATTTCGGCTGCATCGATCTGATCCGAGCATTTGTTGCAATTGTAGACTGCTTGCCAATATTGAAGACCAGACTGAACACCCTAGCCAAACAACTCCAACTCTGGGTGGTAAACCCTTGGAGGGATGCGCTCCTTGGTAGAAAGCTGGCGGGCCAGAATTCCTTTCAATGCCTGTTCCTTTCTGGGACCCTGGCGTCAGCAGTTTAGTGTTGCCAAAAACCCTCCTGCTTTGAAGGGTGTTGAACAAGGATTCTTTGGGAGCTTCAAGTTCTTTGGGGCGTTCATCTTCGAATGTTGCGTGTCATCTCCACACCAAGACATGCGACATGCCCAGACATGCAGTACTTCATTTCTTGCGTGACTGTGAAATCAAGAGTCCCGTTTCTGTTTGTCACATCAGTTGGCCATGCACCCATGGCAATGTACAACGGAGACAACATAAGACAACAGACAACCAAACTGTCTTAGTTATCCTAGGTTGTCTTCTGTACAACCCTCTGCTCAATATTCACACTTCTGTACTACTTGAACAGACACAGACTGTCGGACGTTCAGATCTGGCAGCATCCAGTATTTGTACGGCAACCTCCGTCCACGCTGCCCACCACCTTCCCAATAATCAGACGGTCCCTGTTTCAGTTGCCAGCTCTAGCATTGACGAGAATGGGCACTTCATTAAGTCTCTCCGGTTTCGGGGGGTTGGTGCTGCAAGTGCCATATCTACACCAAGTATGCCAAACATGGGCATTTAAAAATTAGTTACAAGAAGTGCACACAGGCCCATGTCTCTTGCGAGCATTGGTTGCCTCGATCTTGTTTTGAAAATACTCCCCACCGCCTTCTCGATCATGTTTTGAAAATACTCCAACAGGTTCAGCATCAGTTTGCGAAAGGAACTGTTCTATGTCGGTTGCGCCATCTGTGTGGTACAAAATCCACTGGCCTACACTGTGTGGTGCTTCGGTGCCGTGCGGTGCCAGATCTCATCTCGGCTAAGCCAAGCTTGCAAAGTTCTCGGCTACTTGGGGAGGTGGTAGCAGACTCTGCCAACTGCCTTCGCGTGTGATTCTTGCTAAGGATCATGCTGATGTTTTGCCCTTGGAAGAAGCTAGCCTGTAGCGTGAGCATCTACTCTTGCTGTTGCCACGTAGCAACCTTCTTTACTTGTTGGCCACCAGCTTGTCTTTTGGTAATTCCGTTAGTTGTAATTCTACTAGCTCTTCGAGCTCTGCTATTATGCCACATTCAGAGAGCATATTGCACCTGTTTCACACCATGTTCCCCTAGCTCCTGAAGAGGATGCTTTGTCGGAAACCTTTTGGCACTTCCTCCACTTTCGGTGGGTGGTGTTTTCTCCTTGCGGCAAACTCATCCTGTCGCCAGGCTCTCTGGACCCGCTTCTGCGCACCTCCGGGACCTCATCCGGTGGGGGTTCCTCCACAGCTGCATCCATGGGAGGGAGTCGTAAGACTCGTTGCACCAGGTACTGCTCCTGAGGGAAATGGCAGGTATATAAGCATTGATCTACAACCGGCGATTGTAGATTTACACCGCAATCAAAGAAAAGACCGCAGTTTGTTGGGAGATACTCCCCCTTTGAACCCCTTTGAGAGAGATTCGACTTCGATCCCCGCATTGGACTGCCATGAATTCTGGGACTCAAACTCCCACGGGGGATGCTACAAAGCCCCACAACTGTCAACGGAAGTTGCTGGTCATGGTCCCAAAGAACTGAAAACAAGTTCTCTAACTGCCAGGTGCAAGAAAGCAAGTTCTCAACGTGCAAAAACACCTGAAAAATAGAGTTGTAAAAATCGCTTGGGCTTGCTTGTCGTTTGTGCAACCACTCGGAGGTGAATAGAACCACTGGTGTAGCCACGGAACGGCTATAGAACGTAGAGATCCAGATTCGATGAGGCCTTAGCCAGAGCTGAGACAATGTCCGGTTTCTATCGCTTGGAAAAAGGAAGTCGAGAGTAAAATCACTACACTGCATCAAGTCACTCAGTGCTCTCTGAGCGTTTTTCTACGCGTTGCAAGCTTAGTTTCAAGAAAGAAAAACTTGAGGCTAAGGGCTAAGGGGGCTGCATGATGTGAGCTATGGAGTTGATATGTTGAAGTAAATGCAGCGATGATAAGGAGTCATGACGGCAGTATGCAGACGGCAGATATGAGTCGATGGCCGCAAATAAGAAAAGGCACTTGTAGCGGATATGTCAATGACTTGACTGGACGTACCCTCTTGAGCTCTACGATAATACGAAAGGAGTTCAGCAGGACAAAAAGCAGCTATGCGAAGCATCGTCTTTCACCAAGACCAGCGAAGTTAAAGCTGTGGGCCAAGAAATGGGAGTGGGTCTCAAGGGATTGCTTCAGGACACAATACCATCTGACCGCTTTCGTGACATGCGGCCCCCAACGGCAAAGGATAACAGGCAGCCGAACGGAGCACAGTGTTTGGCAGCTGAGGTTTGTGCTCTCTATATATTCCGGTGTGGCCAGAGACTTTGCCGGATCAATGACCATTGCCCCAGATAGAAGATCCTTAGCACGCATGACTCATGACACATGAAATGAAGAGACACACATGACACTTCCGGAAGTGTTTGGTGGGCTCAACACCACCTGTCAAGAGATGGTACCCACCAGGAACAATGGGCCTTGCGGCCTAGCGGGTAGCAAACTTGTTCTCCATACATCAAGCAAATAATGTCTTTGAATTGAACTCGGCCTTGGTAACCAAAGAACTCGCTCAAGAACACATGACTTGTCTCGGGCAATTATTGAAAAGAATGACTTCCACATGAATTGGGTTCCCTCGCCGCACAACAACCAGTGTGGATAAAGCAATTCCAAGTTTGGTAGCGTATTTGGTTGGCTCAGGTTCACGCTTCGTCTGTCAAGCCAAAGGGTTAGTTGGGGAAGTAGATTTGCAGGATTAGCCACTGCCGAACCACGTCCGCAAACATGCACCAAGCGCACTCAGTTTGAACTCACGACCAATCTAGAAATTCCGGCGAAGTGTCCGAGGACTGCAAGCTCCTACTCAACACGGTTGGGGCAGATTCTGCAACCCAAGGCATCTTTGTAGGTTTTTTTTCACTGCAGGCATTGCATCTCCGGAAGAAGTCTATGACAGTATCTGATTGTATATACATGACATACCAGCTGTTCATTCCATTCTTTATTGCCTGCATCAATCAAGCAAAACCTGGCGGCCATGATCTCGTTATCCTGGCTGCCAATTGTGTGCAGAGGTCAGCTCACTAGCGGCACAGCCTGTCCAAGATTAGTTCGCATGCAGATTTCCTTGGTCTTCCCACCGCCTATGACTGGCAACAAATGTCTACTGAGTCTACTGTATATAAATGCATTGGGGGTGTGAACCAAGGCTTTGCAGGCGAACATACCCTTTCCCCTGGAAGAAAACAGCAATTCCCTAGTGGGTGGGTTGGGACAACAAGGTTCTTCTTGCCAACCATATGTTTTTTGAAGGGGAGGGTACTGATTGAATCGAGTTTGCTGCCTCACAGCTGAGCACAGGGTGGTGCCTGACAAACTTTTGGTGCAATGGCAGGCCATCAATTGGTTGGCCAAAAGAACGCGAGAATAATTCCAGGCACGTGTTTCAGGCAAACCAACTCGGGTGAAAGTTTGTAAGCAAGCCCTGGGAGCAAAATGCTCAAGAACGTCTGAGATTCTCGGATGGTCCAACAAGTAACGCCTCAATTCTTCGATCCAGGAGCATCAGTGATTTGATGAAAAATCGACTTGATCGTGTTACCGCCGAGTTGGTGAGGAGAAACTTTGAATAGGGAGGATGAATTCAAAAGGAAAGGTGGCCGACCTGCTGACTGGAATTGAGTCAGGAAAAGTGTCAAAGTCTCCACTCTGTGTGGCAGCCCTCTGCAAGGCAAGTCTTTCCTGAATCAATTGGTGGAACCAGCCGGTCGATATGCCTATGAGACTTGTGAGCAATAGCCACGAACGCGAGCTTCTCTTCATCGTGCTTTTGTGCTGCTTCACTGCCCATAGATGGTGGAGCGCCAGCAACCTCTAGATCATGTACACCAGTACAGCCTACATGTATGCAAGAATGCGTACTGTAGCGTACTGTGTGTGTGTGTACCTTAGAGTCATATGTGTGTGTGTGTGTGTGCACACTTGGACTCATTGTTTTTTTGGCAGGGGGGGCCAGGATGCACACTGGACTGGCACGAAGACACCAGTTTTGCATCATGATCAGGGTTGTCACATCAGTTGGAAGTGGCATTTTGGACTTTTGGAGCTTCAAGATTCTGCGGTCGGACTCTGCTGCATTTTTACCTGGTCTCTTACCTCTCCTCTTTACCAAGATTTCTTCAGGGCTTGGAGCAATCAAGTCGTGCGTACTTTATCTGGATTGCGTCTCCCTGAGAGGACGGTCTGAGCCCGAAGAAGAACAGTGGACCACCCGAGCTGGTGAATGCAGTCTGCAACCGTGATTTCAAAAAACGTGTCACCGAACGATCAGAGCTTGATGCAAGAATGTTCATTCACTAAGTTCAAAACAGCCCATAGCGGGCAAACGCACTGGGCCAACGTAGCCATAGCGGCCTAAACGGTTCCGATCCGAGTGGATCCTGCCAGGTTTTGGTTTTCCCTTCTCTGTCTGTGTTTCCGGGTTTGTCTGTTTGCAGGTGGTAGGTTGCTTCCCAGGCTTCTCACGCTTTCTCTTCCTTCCCTTGTCTCCCGCCTCTCCTCTCCTCTTCTGTTTGAGAATTTTCCGAGTTACCTGTCTACTTCTTTGCAGTTTTCTACTTGCTTGACTTTGTCTTTGCCTCCTTCAGGACTTCCTCCACGTCCGTGTTTTTTTCGCATGCCAGGTCGGTCGGCCGGGTTTCCGGCCTTGAGGTCTTGTCCTGTCTTTCCTTGTTTGAGTCTCTTTACGTCTGTCTGCTTTTCAGGTGGCAAGTGGACCGATCCCGGTCCCTTTCGCCTTTGTCTTCGGCCTGAGCTTTGTAGAACTTGTGGAGCTTTGGATCATGTGTACCTCCTCCTGAAACCCTCATCCCCCCAGTGAAAAGCGTGGCACTCTCGTCTTACCACACACGACGAAGCTGCACAGTAAGTGAGCCTGAACACGCTTATGTATTTGCCTGCTAGTTTATCAACCATGCACTGAAGACCTGATGTCTTTTGAATTTGCAAGCATGCAAAGCCCACCACATACCACACGAAAGGACTGCGGACCGCAGATCTCCCTGATCCATCACAAGTCGCCAAAACCAACAGAGTCAATGACAAACCCGTACCAAGCACCACAAATCCACAGGACTTGACACCATGACCCCACACCGCACTACTGAGCTAGACCTCCCCACACATCACCATACAAATGCACATAAGATGAATAATATTCACAGAAGATTTGAAGCCTAGGCAAACAATACTATCAGAACACCCTGCAAATCTGAAGCACGTCTTCGTAGCAAGACGTAAAAGGAGCCAGTTGGGCTCGACGTGTAGCAGGCACCCCTTGTGCCAATCTGCTGCAAGGGATACGCACACCCTGCACAAGCCCATACAAGCTTGGCTCAAGGGATTTCATCGTGCATTGTACACCTCCGGGCTAATTAGCACTTACGGCACAACCCTCAGGAAACTTGTAGTGCGCTCTCGCCCCTTCACTTCCTCGAGAATGTAGGAAAGCCTTGGCTTTCGATTGTTCCGACAGCTGATAGACTGGGAGTGCTGAAAACGACCACGGACAGTGACTTCAACTGGGCGCAGCGGAAGATCAATATGCCTCCCAATTCTTTCCGCACTCTCCAAGGCACCCCAGGTGGACTTCTTGTGCTCGCTGCGAGGAGTCTCTCGTTCCGTCACGCTCCAGGTCGATCTCTTCGCCTCACCTCGCGAAGCGCTCGGTGACCTTGGGGGTGCCTTGGGTGCTTTGGCCTTGGCGTCGATCTCGTCAAACCTGGGGCAGCGCGGGCTGCCGCAGGTGCAGGCGTGCGCTTCGGCGTAGGCCGAAAAATATCACTGCGCAGCGCAGCTTAGAAGTTTACCAAGACAAAGGGAAAAAAGAACACGGAAAAGCATATGAACACGGCAGATGCAACATCTCAACGAGATGCAATGATGTTGAATCGTCAATGCTGTGTTGAGGGTTCCTACCTTTCTCGATTGCACTTCTGTATCTGATTCCTGACTCAGAAGCTGTGCCAGGCGCTTCTCAATGACTTGTTGAAGAAGCTCATCTTCAGTATGCTCCTACCACCAAATACCGACGATGTGGGTCATCCTTTTTCCACTTGCTGGGATCGTTTATCAAATAGTGGTGTTTTATTCCTGAGCATGTCAAGGGTCCTCATGCAAACACATGTTCCAACACTACTGTAGCTGCTCCAAAGTATACTGAATACTGTATGTGCCTTGAGGCGCGTAACCTCGAGACTTCCGCATATCACAGTGAATTGCAGATTTGATAATGAATCTGCAATATGTTGTCCCACTGTGCCGTTTGGCCCTTTTGAACAGCAAACGGAGCGCTAAAGCGTTTCCACAAGATGAAATATGGCTCTAGAAAAAGGATACTTTGCCGCTCTGGAATGTGGCAAATTTCGTGACGCACAGCTCATGTCAACCGCTTCTCACCATAGGTTGAGAAATCTGTTTTCTTGGCAATGTCTGCAGGCACAAGAAAGACTTTGTAAAACTCTGCCTCATGAACTGCTGAGCGGGCTGTCCTTCATGAACTGCTTCAGGTTCCTGATGGTTGCAAGGCGTCCATCTACTGGTGGGTTGTCTCTCCAACTGGAAGGGAAAGGGAAACCAAAAAAACACGCAAACACATGGTTCCAGCACCTCATGCATAGAGAAACCTTGTATGAACTGATCCATCAAGCTGCACTTGTATGTGCAAGCTGGATACTCTAGGACTCTGGAAAGCGTCTTTCTCTACTCTGACTCCAGCCCGGATCACCCGTTCCTGTCTCAAAGTTAAAAGCTTTGATGGAACGACGTTCTGCACGCCGGCTTTGAAGTCCTTTAAATATTTTTTGCAACTCAAACCACACAGCAAGTTTGGCTCAACAGTTTTCAATCGAAAGAGCTCATCTCCCGAACCAGTCTCCGGAGGTGTTGCTGATGTGCAAGACGATTGTGGGATCTGGCCGCATCAATACAATAGTAGGATGCCCGCAATGTTTTGGCTTCCTGAAGGCAACTACCGCACATGTGAAGGATGCCTTTACCACCCCTGGCAACTTCTCATGCTTGGGGGTTGCGGTCTAAAAAATTCCTTCATCCATCCATCCATCAATCCGGCAGCTTTTTTTCGAACACCGTCTCCTTATTTCTAGAAAAGGCCCCATTCCAACCAGAATGTATCCCTGATGCAGATTGAAAAACGATTGAAAGAGATCCCTAGTAGCGTCCGATCGCTCCGTTCGTAGCGATTGAAAAACGCAGTTGGCTCGGGTGAGGCCGAAGTTTCGGTGCGGTTAATCCCCCTAATTTCGTGTCGGTGCGCTGAAGTGGTGAGGCTGAAGTGGTATGTAGGGATGTCGGCATTGAGCATCGTTTCAGGCTACCAAAGAAAACCTTTCAGAGAAGAAACCATGGGGGTCCATTCTGAAATCCAATCTCATCCAAGGTTTAGTTTGTCAAACACCCTATCACTTCTGACTCTTGGGTCCTCAGCAAGTTGAGGCATTGGTTCCTCTTCATCGTCCAGATCCATCTGTGGCTTCATGGGCCTTGAAAGGTTTCCAAGAGCCACACCTGCAAGCCGAGGAGGTCGCGGTCGCTGCCCCAAATGGTCACTTCGTCGCGAAGGGCGGACAGCATCTACCATCCAAACGAGTGCTTGCCGTGTTGGAAATTGTTGTTACGTATATATTTCTTGAGAGGTATAGAGGTTGTGGCTGGGAGTTGCTGGTGGTGTAGCTCCAGGTTTCACAGGCACATTTGAACAGGTTTTGAGATACGCGCCACTTCACTGTCTGAAGGGACGACCCAAAAAATAACATTAGCATTATAGTTTGGTGAATCGAAAAGAGTTGGTGTCACCGTCACTCGCACGCAGCCACGCAGACTTTATCAAGCAGTGTGCGGACTCTAGGCATTCGACTTCGACGATCGCCAAGGCTGTTGGGTGGTTTCTCTCTTTGAGCAACCTCATTGACCAAACGCGATCAGCGGTGGCGGTCTGTTCCCTTCAGTTCCCTCCAATCTGGTGCCGCTCCCGCCTGCGTGACAAGCAATGCGCACCATGGGCTGAACGAAACAAAACCCAGCCTTCGCCAAATTGCTTGTGCCCATGCTGCAGTTGTAGGAAAATCTGCAGAAGTCTACTACTACCCAGAGAATTCACGGGTAAGAAGGAGATGTTTCTTTCTGATGAAGGACCCAATGTCAAGGCAAACATGTTCAACCAACTAGTGATTTTCGCATCGAGAGTAAAACTGGGCTCTGGTGTCGCTACATCAATCCCACTGTGCAAGTTCACCAACAAAAAAAATATAAGCATATGTAGGTGGTTCTGCAGAAGTCTTCATCATCAATCAGACCCGGACCTTCCCCCAACTCCCAACTCGCCAAGATGCCGGGAAGGTGGGCAGCACCTTGGGCGCCTCAGCGGCGCCTTGACTTTCGGAGGCCAAACAAGCGTTGCTCTGGGGCAGCCTGGAGCGTTCGGGCCATGCGCAAGTCACGACCAAGCCAGAAATCTTCAAGTCTGATCGCCAGGACCTGCAGGACCTGGTGATATATTTGTCCCAGAACTATGGTCAAAAGCATCTGGGCACTCTTCCTCAGGATAAACGTAGGTCTGAAATTCTGGCAACACTCAAGATGATTGTAATCACACCCGTGAGTCAGGTATGCAATGGTCTGAAGGTTTGAAAAGGTATGGGGAATAAGGAATAAAGAAAGTCAGCTTGATCTCTCGCATCTTCCCCCTCAAGACGTGACATGTCAAGTCGCTCGTTTCACGCTCCAACCCTTTCGTTGTGGCCAAGGTGCAGGAGACTGTGGCGAAGGTCAGAGAGCTTATGCAGCGTGGATCCCCTGGAGCTGCTGTGACTCCAACAAAAGCCACCAACTCCCGCAACGATTTCTGTCTCAAACAATCAAGGGAAGGAACAATATATATATATTATATCTATATACAGAATCAAGTTTTGCCCAGTGGCAACATGCAAGTTACATTATGATCATCTCATCTTGCTCTTGAATCTTGAAAGGGATTGTAGCCAAACGTCTGGAAAGATTGGGTGCTGCGATCGACAACGTGTCTGCCGAAAGCAATGAAGCCCTTGTTTGTTGGCTTCAGCAACACCAGTAGAACGCTATCTGCTTTCTGAAAGCGCCTCAAGTTTGTATGTTCGTCTTACCTAAGAACGGCATCAGGCCTATCAGGCTTCAGTACAAAGCTTTCGCTGATGATGCCCTCGTTCACCACGGCACTCAAAAGCCTTAGATCTACTTCAAAGGGACGCCAGAGACACTTACAATAATATATTTCTTTGGGGTCAAGATAGGGTGAAGAAAGAACATGCGTGTCTCTGTCTCTCAATTGATTTCACCCAAATGCCCGTCAAATTTCGCGGCCAGTCCAGCCCCTGCAGCTCACATGACCCTCGGAAATTTCAATCCCACACATGCTCAAACAGTGTCAATATTCTCAATCTCTATATTGGCACTTAGGCTGCTAGGTCCTGCAGGCCAAAGAAATCGATAAGATAGACACACTATTTCTGGAAGAAACAAGAAGACCACACACCAGTTGAAGCCTGGCTGCTGTTTGGCATTGAATTCTTTTCCTTCGCAGGTGACCTGACCCTCCTCAGAGACCTCACAAATGACCTAAGGTCAGGCGACTGTTTGTTCCAATGTCTCTTGAAAGGAAGTCTGACGTCTGCAAAAACTGTGCAAGCTCCAGGCGAAAAAGGCCACTGCTTTTGCTGAAGAAAATCACAGAAAGTATCAATATATCCAAATACTCGAAATCCAAACACTCTCATCCTCTTCGTCCAGAACCAAGGCCTCCGTGTGCCCACGTAGGGTTTCTAGGCTCGCTTGCATCAAGTCTCCCTGGGCACAGGGCAGTTCCGTCTGATTGTTTATTCCAAATCGCCCGTCTGTAAACGGATCAAATTCCTTCAACTCCCAAGTGAAAAAAGGGCTATTGCTGAGATGGTGGAATGTACAAGGACTTCTAGTCTAATTCTCTATTTATATATATATATATATATACGTACATACATACAGCACTTGCATGAAACACTTTTTGGACACTTGCTGATTTTGCCTGCCTTCTTCGCAGAGCAGTCCAGCGTGAACTGCGGCTGCTGCCGAAGCTTTTGGAGGGCAAGAAGTGCCGAATAGCCCAAAGGCCATACATGGGCAAGCTCCATCCAAACCTGAGGAGCGGTGCTTTTTGAAGCACACGTCGCTTCTTTAGCTGAGGGTGGTCACAAACCCATTTCTGCGGGATTTCTCGCATGGATTCAGATTTGTGTCAACATGAATCCTTCATTCACGGAGACTTGGCACGACATCAAACCACCAAGCGATGCCCCGACAGAACCCGCCCAAGGCGACCAAACCTGCAACCAAGCTGCACGGCGGCACGGAACTTGAGGGGCTGCGAAGTACTCCTATGATATGCTCGAAGTATCTTCATCTGTCCGATACGAAGACAGCTGACAGCTGTACTTATAAGAGAAACGTGAACTTCATTGTTTGCATCAATACATATTTGGCATAAGCCACGTGAAGGCAGCCTAAAGCTCTCTTGACACAGACTGCTATAGGTTTGTTCCATCTGTAACAATCTAGCCACTACTTGGATCTTTTTGTGGTAGGGATATGTAGGGATTCTCTTTTCCTTGCAATCCCGGTCTGCTCCTCAAAGAAGCCAGAGTGAAAATTTATTCCATGCTGCACCTGAAGCATAGACCGAATCATCTGCCAATGCCGCAAAGGCCCAGGTTTGCAAATGCAGAGCATTGAGAATATCTGCTCGAATGCTTTAGATAGTTCATGAAGCCCCAGACACAAGTAGGTGCTAGAGGGTGTTTCCTCCATGGGAACAAGCATCAATTGTACGATACTTGGGAAGCTTCACTTCCAAAAGATCTCAGCTCAATTGAAAGCCACCATGGTCCAACTGGCCTCGAACTTGAGCTCTACCTGAAGCGTCGGGAACGAGTCCCAAGTAGGTTTGCTGCTGCAGCACCATCTCGTGGCAAATGAAAGAACTGCGGGATAAACAAAAAGAATTAGAATTAGATTAAATCATAATTAAACTAAATAGCTTCTTGTTACTACTAGTAGGGCACTTGTTACTAGAAGCGATGCACTTGCTACTGCTAGCTTCTTGTTTAAGCCAACCTTGTCATACCTCTTCGGTGGACTATCATACTGTGTTCCAAAATTCCTGGGCACTCAGCAACAGGCTTAGCAAGCTGCTTTAGAGCTTTTACAATGCAGGAAGCGAAGGATAAAGGCTAAATACAAATACTAAATAGATGCTTCAACTTCAAGCATATAGCACCAAATCCTTTGAGTTGCAGAATGCTTTCATAGATCGAAGAAATGTTTCAATGTAGAAACACATACACTCCTGAGATCCAAGGAATCCATACATGTTTTTGTCCCTGCTGTGCCGAGGAGCATTCACTTCTTGGGGTGTGCCAGTGCAAGCCATTTCAATGGTCTTGCAAAAGTCATTTTCGCCTCATACGAGCAAAGGCCAGTGCATGCACGAAAAAATTGGCTCTTGCTCACCAGAAGATTTCAGAAACCATTTTGGCACATACTTCATATGTTTCACACGCTAGTTCTGGACCCAAAGCCACCGGGCCGACCCCGCGCGCTGGGTCTTCCGGGCCATCGAGGTCATCTCCTCGCTGGGCAGCACGGAAGAGCACTTGCCGTGTGGAGAAGATCAGCTCTTCCTGGGACGAAGCACTCACGACCAGGTGCGACCAGTGCTTCTGACAGTGCTTCTGACGTCAGGTCGTCCCCAAAACCGCGGTTACGGTCTGTCGAACGGTTCCTCCTCCCAGCGAGGCACTGAACGGTCTCATGTCTCCGCGGCTCCACGCGCAGTCCACGCGCGCAGGTCGAGTGGTCGCCTCTCCGGTTCGGAAGCAGGTGCTCCGATCCAACAAGGTTTGCAAGAAAGCCACATAGTCCTCAGGGACTGGGGTTGATCTGGCGCTGGGATGCGCCAGTCCCAAACAACTAGTTATATAAGTTATGTTAAGTGTCCCTAACAAATCTAGGAACCAAATCATTAGTGCGAGCGCTTCTTCAAGGAAGCTTCCTTGAAGAAGCGCGAGCTATCCTGCGTCCATACTAGTAGCTTAAGTAAGGTATTAGCTACCTAGCTACTATCTAACCTACCTCTAGCGGCCTCCCCCCCCAAAAAATAGAAGTTTGGACATACAATCATCGAGTTGATCAAAGCTACTATTTCTTGGCCGTTGATTCTGATGTTTGGGAGGATGTACAGGTCGGGGTCGTTGGGGTCGTTGACTATTTGGTTGCCTCCTTGGCATCCTGCTACAGCAAGACACCTGTAAAAAGGCGAGTCTTGCATGCCTACCTCTCATGGAAACGATCATGAACGCACCAGATATCTATCCCACCTGCCAATCTCCAGCCACCCAGCCACCGGTGCATCTGAGATGCATTTGGGTCATTGGAATCGCTCCAAGATTGTGCCAAACGTACCTCAGCAAACATCACCAACCAGCTGTGGCACCTCTGAAGTGCTCCAAGCTCAGCCCATCACCAAGTAGAGAAAGAATCCTGAGAAGCCAAGCCGCCCTGAAGCCCCGGAGGCCTGGCTGACGGTCGATGTTTCCGAAAGTGCTGACGGTCTGGGGGGTGAAGATTGTGCATGTGGACTTGTTCGAGACGTTCGGAACAAGCCTTCAGAACTGGGGAGCGAACGTGAATTTAGACGTCCAAACCTGGGCCCCAAGCCTCCAGCCAACAATTTTGGCACAGGACCCTTTCCTGCTCCTGAGCAGCACAAAACGGATGCCAGACCAAAGAATGACACATAGATTCCAAGCCGTGCTGTTAGTCTCCCACATGTCACATGAGTGGCTTTGACCAGCATGCTCATGAACAGCTTGCAACCCATACACTTAATCGATCGCAAAAGAAAATCATCAAAGCATCTCTCGTCAATGAATTATGGCATCAGTTTGTGGTCAACGGCAAAACATCACACAGAATTGCAGAGACCTGAAAACCAAGTACCTTCACCAGCGCCGTGTCAAGGGGTCCGCGCGGCTCCGCACGCG